TGATAAGTTGTGCAGTAAGAAAAGTATTGTAGAATGTATAAAAATGTGAAATGTGCATAATTTTTGGTTTTCCAGCTAATTAACAATGTAATAAAACACTATCCATTCAAAAACATTAAATACAAAGAAGATTGAGAACATACATTTTTAATATAAATGATAAAGGAATAGCATAAACAATAATGAATATTGTACACAACAGAAAAAAATAAATCTGAACAAAGGTACTGCTTCATTGCTCACGCCATGCAGTGAGGCATTGTCTGGTTTTCATGAGACATAAGTGCACTCGTGCACTTTTCACATTAGTTTTTTGTTTTGTTTTTACGAGAAGAGTGTTTCAGTACTGATGTGAACAATGCCTGTATGGTTGTGTGTGTGCAGTCATAAGCAAGTTACCAATAAAAAGTAACAGCATTACAGTTACCTAAACCAAAAAAGTAACTCTCTGACAGTTGCAATTATGAAGTTTCCAAAAGTAACTTGTCACTGTTACCGTGAAAAAGTAACATCATCACTTTACTGTTACAGTAGAAAATAAGTAGTGGATTACATACCAAATGATATAACAAAAAATAAGTAGTGGTTTATATACCAAATGAGAGAATAAATTTAATAAAATGTACGAGGAGGTACAGAAAGTGCACAGCGAGTGAAGATGAGGTCGATTGACCACTGACGTCCATTCCCTTGTTCTTCAAGGTGTACCAGAGCCTGTTCGCAGAGTTATGCGTCACCTCAGCACACAACCATTGAGACACGTGTTAGTGAAATCGAAAGGCCGCACACCTGTGAACGATCAGAGCGGCATTGCCTACAAGTACGATTGGAGGATTGCGGAGGGACAATAATAAATGGGCAAAACAGGCAGTAAAGGATCAGAAAAGACGAGGAAATGAAAGGTTGCTCAAGTCAACTAAGCAACGCGTGTTAGACAGAGGTTGTTGAACAATGCTGGACAGGGCATTGCTTTTACCTAAACATGGGAGGGGGCTCTTGGAAATGTCTGCAAGGCATGTGTGACTGATCGACGTCCGGAGGTTTGTTTTTCTCTTTCTTTTTATGGCCAGTGTACACTGAGGACACGGCATGCGAAACGTTTGCCATTTGGTTAGTTCATGTGTTAAGTCCATATTGAGCTATGCAAATCAGTTACATAGCGGCTGCATTTTCAATGGAGGCAAAAATACTGTAGGCCCATGGGGTCAGATTTGGTTGCATGTTTCGACCAGGTGGTTGAAATTTCCGGAGCCCTCCACTTCGGTGTTCGGATGTTAAACCCGACATATTATTATGAGAATCAGTTACAGAGAAGGTTAAAAATTTTTTTTTTTCTGTTGTTCACGGCCTTCTGGCCTTCAGCCATTTCACTCAGCTATTTCTTAGCCACCTCTTAAAGGGTCACTAAAGGCAACTATTAAGTTGACGTTGGTTGTTGAAATAGCGGTCCAGAAACCTCATAGTGTTAGTTTTTTTTTGCCAAGGAAGGGCCCATTTTGAATTAAAATCACGTTTTAGTGGTCCACATCAGGTTAGTGTACTTCAAATTACCGGCTTCAAGAAGTGGATCGACCGGACCAAATCACGTCACTGTTGCAGCCCACAACGTTGACCGGCTTTACTGGGCTAGTAGCAGCACACCGAATGCAGCGGGAGCCACAGCAGCAACAATAGCCATTGGAAATTTCCCGCCATTGAGTCTAAGATTGCAGACGTTTTTGGTTCAACTGCTCCCCACTAGATGGCACCACCTGTCTAATGTAACTACGCAAAACTTGAATTTTTGTACCACTCTCGCCATTCCCCCTTTTTTTTTTTTATGAATCAAACAGAAACGAACAAGCTGCATTTTATTGCGTCTCTTGATGCACGGAAGGTTCTTTATTTAGTAAAGCTAAATCGATTACTAGTGATTTATTCTAGGCTGTCCGTCTGATGTCATCGGGATCATTTTGAGAATGTCCTACTATGGCGCATGTGTTCTTGTGCATTTACCTTAATTTCTCTAAATAGGGCACTCTTGTTGATAAAATTGTCGTTCTAGATGTTGTCATACATTGAGTTTTCACTCTGACGTAAATTGTTATTTGACTTTGTGTCCCTGTAAACATGATTAGCTCAGAGTCTCTGGAGGAGGCATGCTCCATTGGTACACCAACAAGAACGCTGGAAGCTCAAGTGAAAAAAAAAAAAAAAAAACTTTTGGGCCCCTTAACCCCCCCCCCCCCCTTACAAAGAAAGGGGGAGGGGGGGGGGACGTGCACCTGCGAAGGTGTTCAGCTGCAGGGCGATTGATTTACAACATGTGGTTATAAGTTACCTCCGAATACAGTTTTGTGCATGTAAGATATTTCTCTTTAGCGACACATTCTTCAAAAACTGTGAGGAGAGCCCTATTTTGGGAAGTAGAAAGGTGCAGAGGATATGGTAAAGAAGAAAATTCCAATAAGTGAGAAGCATTTCACATTACCTTTAAACTATCGTAGCTGTATGATTTTTCTCTGTAAAAACAAAAGTAACTGTAACAGTATTTTTTGTTACAGTTACTCTGTAAAAAGTAACAGTGTTACAGTTACGAATTTTTCTGACTTAGAAGTAACTAGTTACCAGTAACGCATTACTAGTACTAGTTACTTCCCAAGACTCTGTGTGTACGTGCATATGTGTTTATATTCTAAAATATTAAACCAAGTATATTTACTTCAATTATTGTTGATAGCATTGAAATAAAGTATGAAATCATGCACAGTCCTAGAACAACGTCTCGCACCCCTCCGTAGTCTCAGAGATCTGCTTTGGCAGCCTTGTCGTGATGAGAACTCTGCAGCCCATGCCAGTCTATCGTGCCCCAGCAATGTGCGGATCTCGAATGTACGCAGAGTACCTCAAAGATTGTGCACATAGGTGAGCAGCTACTCACCTGCGGCAGGGGAGACCACTTAGGCCATAAACTAAACCAACCCCAGAATGAATGCTGATGTCTCAGGCTAAAGCAAAACATAACCGCCTTCAGAGCTTGAAGCTCAGGTGCGATTGCAAGATAGTTTCTCACACCACAAGTGGGAACCCAAGCGCGGGGCGACAATGCTATGGAGTGACAAGCGATACCGGATGTGGCCCTGTGTCCGATATGATAGAAGTGAAACCGAAACTGCTGAAAACTGACTGAAAAACAACAGTTCTCTAATGAATAAATAGCTGGCATAAATTTCAGGAAGTTTTTACCGCTTAACAGTAACAGATTGCAAAGCTGACACCATAATTTTATATTTGACTTGCAAAGGTTCGTTTTATTGTGGAACTTTAATGTTGGTGAAACATAACCATGAGCGGCACGCATTTTTCTCAAGTTCATCAGCCAAAAGCATTTTACCAGCAACACATGCAGGTTGGTTTGTTTGCGCTAATGTTTGTCAACACTGTGTTGCCATAACCAGAAAACTCAAATGGATTCTGAAAGTGAAGTGCCTGGACTAAATACTAGGAAGAGCTATGTGCACGAAAAACAGATGCAACATGCCAAAACAAACGATTCAAAGCATCAATCACCAGTGATCAGTTTGAATAGGCGTGGTAACAAAAGAGTAAAAGGAGCACTGGCACGAAGATTTCGCACCTTGTCTTTTTTTCGTTGTTGCAATAGGCTGCTTATGACCTCCTTATCATGGCTGGAATCCTCATTTGTACTAGTGCACAAGTTTATTTATATAGAGATGCTCTTAGAGTGCCCAGTCGCAGTTTGGGTTTCAAAGAGCACCGAACTAGGCGGGAGCAGTTCTGGTGTCTATGTAAACACAGCTGGCCGCGTGGCCATGCAAAACTGTGACGTGGGTGCCACACTGACCAGCCAACACCAACTTGTGACGTAGGTTTGTTCATGCTGACACCACGTCGATGTTGGGATCATGAGGTGCCCCGCATCTCGCTCATTCGTATGGCATCTATTTTAAAAATGATTTTAAATAAGCTCAAGGCTGTGTTTGCCCTTGATATTTCATGGATGTTATGTATGTCTTCACATAAATCTATCTCATTCATTATCTCGCTTTTAAATTTTTGTGTTAGGGCTCTTTTAAGGCATTGCAAGTGAATGAAAGCTTCCCAAATATAAATTCTCTACCATCTTTGATTACGACTGCCGTTATACCATCATCTCTTACTGCTTTTTCTTTGGACATGCCTTGCAGGGTCCTTCTAACTGTATTGATAGTGACATATAGATCTTTAGCATTCATTTGAGTCCACTTAAGGTTAGATGATTTATCTGCAAGTGGTAAAATTCAAAATAGAAGCCTCTGCCACCCACTATGTAATTGAAATTGCTGATAAGAGTGTCCTTGTGTTTTGCTTTAAGCTGTTTGGGCTTGCTTATTCAGTTTTCTTCTAGCTGTCTTGATGATGCTGCCTTGTTTTTCTTCTTATTTTTTTCCCCCTACTTTATTTGTTAGCCACTCTTACCTGTTGGTGTTTTTAGCCTTCTGTAGTTAGGAAGAGCGTGCCCACTTCTTGCTGTAGCGCTATTCCGTCAATTTCAGTTGCAGCTTCATCACTCCAGTTGCTTTTATTTTATTACAATGACCACACATTTTACTGTTAATTCAGGCATTGCATAACCTGCCCTCGCTTCCTCCTCATTTTTTGACAAAGAACTTGTGTGCACTTTGCTGTAGTGATTCATCATGCTTCCGTTTATTTTTTCTCTACCTCCCTTTTCCCCCCTATCAAAAGGCTTTACCTTACAGTTGTCTCTCAAAATATGTTTTAAAGTACATGCTGTAGAAAAGTATGTGTTAAAAAAAGCACATTATTGTTTTCATCTTAGAAAGTGCACATTTGTTTAAGGATTTCATGTGTGTACTTGTCATACTAAATGTTAATAATCTAGTACTCTCTGCTGCTATGATGCGGTGCCAGAACAGTGTCATTTTTGGTGATTCTACAGTTTTGTAGGCCGTGTTTCAATTGTTATTGTGTTTACGTTGCTGTTTATTTCTTTGCAGATAAACATTGAGGTTCAGCATGCCAGAGAGCCTGTGATTGCTGCCATTGAGCGGAATGGGGGCACCATCACCACTGCCTACTTCGACATAGAAAGCGTCACAGCCCTCATGAATCCTGAGAAGTTCTTCAAGCAGGGTCTCCCCATCCCAAAACGTAAACTGCCGCCAGAGGATGCTATTCGGTATTACAGCGACCCAGCATTTCGTGGCTACCTGGCTGATCCGCAAGAGATATCCAAGCACCGTTTTATTTTGGCACAGAAGTATGGCTACGAACTGCCAGATTTGGAAAAAGATCCCAGCTACGAGATGTTGAAAGAACGGAAGGATCCACGTCAGGTTTTCTATGGACTTCAACCGGGCTGGGTTGTGAACTTGAAAGATAGGGTCATTCTAAGGCCAACCGACCCAGAGTACAAAGAATACTACAATATCTGAGCAGTTGTATTGGGGATTTCTAAATGTTGCCCATCGCGAAACTCTCTGAAGTCTCTGTGTTATAGGTGATATATTCATTGTCACATTCATATAAAGTTATTGTAGCAGTTTGTCTGCGTGACATGCCCTTTATTTGTTTTGTTAATTGTAAAAGAATCTAAAAAAATGTGTGGCAGCATCTCTAGGCCTGCCATTGTCCGGATCTGTGAGTTTAAATGACATTGCAGCTCTCTACCTGAATCTGCTTGTTTCGTAGTTAAGATCATTATTTTATGTGGTTTCTTCTGCGAGGCCACTGTTAGTAATGCTCTGAAACAGTTGCTAATGTCAAGTCCAGTAGTTATAATAAAGTAGCTTGTGCTATTTTGTTTCATTTCCATGATTTGCTCACAGAAGAAATCGCAGTTCATATGGCAGTCAGCCAGTTTAGAATGCATTACTTTACTAGCCCCATTAACAAGGTACTCGTAGCTTTTATCGTCTTGCCTCTGATAGCTGCTTTCATCATGTGGCATTTACTGCATTCGATTGCAACCTACTGTACTAATAACTTCTTTATCATGCATTTTAATTTGTAGTTTGTATTGTTTACCTAACTTTTTCATGACAGCTTTTAGTTTTTGTGCTTCTTTAGACGACTGAACACTGTAAAAACCAGTGTACTGCCAATACAGTGGCATAGGCAGAACAAAACGTTGACAACCACTACTTCAGAGAAGAAATCTTGAGAGTGGTTATAGTCAGTGTTGTACGTACGCATTACAAGTAATCGATTACATTTCTTGTAACTTTCTAATGTAGTCGATCATCTTTCAAAACTTTAACATTCTGATCAGTCAGGGGTGCAATAGCTGCGCCAATTGTGCCGATTTGATGCAATTCCCTATTTTTGCGCCGAGCTGCTCCAAAGCCATGAAATTTATCGTAATTACGCCGCGCTGCACCAAAATGCATGACCAGCCTCAAAATATTCTCAAGTGCACTAATTTCAGTAATAAATGCAGTCCACATTCCACCTGTAGTTTGCGTCATCAATCATTGTAGAGATCCAGACGCACAAACCATACTCGCGAAAAGCGATCGACCAGATGAAGTAACTATGCCACGCGCCCATCGGTCTGCTGACTGCAGCAGATCTTTATCAGCGGGACGGCACAACTTCAAGACAAAAATGCATTGCGGTTGCCAGCAATACTTCGCGAGAAGTATGAGCTTCCTAGTTAACAAATGCGGCTATGGCATGTTAGGAACTAAAGCTGGAAGTGTATGCCGCTGTTACTGCATGCGAACAATCTCGATGTACTGGGAACGCCGTCGTTGCCGGCGATCACGTTAGTTGCCATACCAAATGGCGCATGTGGTAAACACCTAGCGCTGTTGCCATGCCAGTGGGCGCATATTGTTGTTACTTCAGTCAAGCGCAACTTGCAAGCGAGCTGAAGAGTTGTGCCCGAGCTGATGAGTTGAGCCCTTAATCTAAACCCATTGTGAAAAAAAAGGGGGGTGTAGCGGTTAGAAAATTTTTTTGCCTGAACCGCTACAGAACGCCACTTAAAGGCCAACTGCAACCAAATTCGACACTTTGCAAAAAGTCAATATATAGGTAAGTTGGCTAGAGGTAGTGCTGCCAGGCAAATGTCGCCTTCGAAATACAAGCGCTTACCTTAGAGAAAAACTTGCAAATGACGGCGTTTTTAAGACCGAAACTAGAAAAATTGACACCATTACGTCTCACTAAAAGTGACGTGAAGGGCAGAAAAATTGTCTGCTCCGCGCTTCTCGAGCACGCACATTACAAACGCACCCCTTAGTGTGGGTGTTTTTTCTTTGTTAACATAAGAAAGCTGCTCCTGTAAGCCCAACCCGGGTTAGTTATTACTCATTGGATCTTTAATAAAGTTTATGGCCTACCATGCCTCTTATCGAACGCTGGTCCGAGCTTCCCACTCACGGGTTTGGAGTGTCTGACCCCCGCATTCAGAAACGCTGCTTGACTTGAACTTGACTTGCCATGGACTTCAATGCAGCACAAACGCGTCTCGAACGCGCTGTCTTTAAGCGGTTCCAAGACAGCACAAACACACTGAGTGATTAAATGGCAGGGACGATCGCTCACAAGGACCGACGCAGCGACGTTCTGTAGTAATCGTCCTATCCGGTTCTGTCTGATTTGTCTGGGCACACCGCCAGAGCTCTGTGTCATTTGCTTGCTAGAAGTTAGAGCACCAATTATGAATTAAATATGTGTCTGCAAGATTTTCCACTGTCGTTATCGTTACTTACCTTATATATACTACATATATATGGCCGTTTTCGCCCAAGTAAAATTTCGTTGCAGTTGGCCTTTCAGCCACCTTTGCTGCAGTACATCAGTGGTCTGGGGAAAAGCATCTCAAGATATGATAGGCACTGTTAGCACTATTCACGGAACACAGCACAGTTTTCTCAGTTACTCATGCGTGTGTACGCCGCCTAATTGTAAATAGTGTTGTATTCGTTTCCAAAAAAACTAACTAAATACGTTACTCGTTACACCAACAAAAAAGGAACGCGTTATCGTCCTACATTACCAACAAAAAATATATATAACGCGTCATCGTTACACTTACCGAAAAATAGTAATGGACGGTACCTCTGCCGTTACTTAGCAATAATAAATATCAATCATTTTGTTTTTGCTGCAGGAACCCTCAGTAACAATATTTTAAAGCTCACACTTGCTTTTCACACAAATCTTCTAAACCAAACGACGATTTTACCCAAAATGTTGATTGAACTAGAATTGCTTGTACAAATGCACTGAACCTTTGCAATGTCATAGAGCTTATAGTTAGTTGCCTCTATAGTTGCATGCAATGGCTTCGCACTCTAGCACATGGTGACGCTATTTGTCTTAGCGCCACATCATACACAATACAAGATTCAATCATCAATGCCTTAACATGAATTCCCACAAACTATCCCAGTTATCTGTTCTTGTAAGTATAAACGCTCCCCTCTAAGGACGCATCACTGGACTCTCAACAAACTTACGGCAATGATTTCAGCGTGCTTCTCCTGGCAAAATAAACGTGCAAAATTTGTAGTAGTAAAGAATTGTTTTAATGGCCTAGTCGGCTGCAAATATATTTGTGTATAAATATTTTTCTTCATTTTACACTGTTTACTTACCGCAAAAATTGGGAACATTTATGTGAAGGTGTTCTAGACCAGCCTCGCTCACTCAGGAGCTTTATAATTAGAAAGGTTAGTGAGAACACAGTGTGCCATTGCTGCATGAGCTAAGTTCAGAGTGCCAACAAATTACATGCTCCTCATGGGGTCGGCAAGAAGGTCGGGCATATCATCGGGAACTTTCGTGGCACAAGACAGATTGGGGCGCTTTGTCAGCTTTCTACACCTCCGCAGCAGAAAATAAGACCTTTTTCATAGAGAGAAGGATCACTTTTTTTCTGGATTGTTAGGCGGAGGTAGAAAAGCTGGCTTTCGTCTCTGTGCCGGTACAAAATTGTGGTGCTATCGAGCACAGGGCGGCAGCCGCAGTGATCACAACGAATAGCCAGAAAGCTGTCGGTCTTGTTTCGAACATTACTGTCGTGCTCTCAGAGACGGTCATCGAGACACCTGCCTGTCTGAACGATATGGCAGGCTCCACACGACAAAGGGACTCTGTGGACTACCCCCCCCCCTCCCCCGCACACATTCCAGAAACCGATTACGATGCCTTACCTGGCAGCCAACTTCGCGTCTCGTGACCGGACTGCTCCTCTGTGAGAGCGAGGCTAACTTGTGTGGGGCCAAAAAAACCACATGGACACCATCATGCCGGCCTATCTTTTTCAACCTGTGTGCAGAAAGCTGATGCTTGTAAGAAATGATCGTGACTTTTTTGTGTCTGCCCATGCTTTTCTGTACGCCATTATCTGCAGCACGTCGTATGTGCCCCTGATCTCTGCAGATGCTTTCGGCCACAGCAACCAGCAACATCTCAGGATAGCCATCCTTTCGAAAACGAGCCACAGCGTCTTATGTCCATGCAGGGAATCGGTGCCTGCTAAAGATACCCCCCCCCCCCTCAAATTTCTCAAACTAAATTCCATCCACGCTTTCTTTGCTAATGCCTGGTAGGCGATAGCGGTTCGATGCTGCAACAAAGGAATTCATCGGGGCGAGTTCTGGGAATGTGCAATCTTCAGAATGAAAAAGTAACGAGTAATGAGGCACCTCACGTTACCGAAAAATGTTAACAGAAGTATGTTACCCGTTACAGTCCCGAAATTGATATGAGTACATTACTAAGTTACCGAAAAAAGTAACGTGTTACTGGTAATGACGTTACCTGTAATGCGTTACTGCCAACACTGATTATAAGTACTAATATGATCGCTGATGTCTAAAAAAAGTTTCTGGCTATTATTGGAACACTTTATGACGCATCTGCAGCCCTAAAAAAAAATAAAATGAAACTGATTACCAGCGTTTTTTGTGCTGCTTCTACTTGTCAGTTTTATGAATCTCCCTAATCTCAAGATCGCCAGCTTGTCAGATCCTCATTTGAGTCCTCAATGGCTGTCAAGAGATTTGATAGGCGTGGCAAATGCAAATGTGGACTTTATCATTGTTTGCTGAGGGAGAAGGGTTCAAAATACTACTTTTGTTTAAATAGCAGTGCTCATATTCACTCTACATGAGTTAGGGAATGTTGAATTGTTTGTACATTTTTTTTGTAAATGCAAGCCTTCATTTTCATACTGCTCTAAATTTAGTCTTTCGTAATAAAAAATTACCATTTATCCCCACAACCTGCTCCAAATGTGGATTTTAGTGCTCCAAAAGTAACCTTTCACTGCACCAAAAATTGCTCTAAATTATATTCTGGCTGTTGCACACCTGTGATTAGTTGAATTATTAAATTTTATTTTCTTGTAATTGATTACTAGAATTAATTACTTTTTCAATTTTTTTCACATCAAATTGTAACTAGTCTTCTATGGCAGTTCTTGTCCTAAAAACGATGCAACTGCCCTTGAGAAAACACCCAATTTGGCAGAAGGGGGGGGGGGGGGATGGAGAGCCTATTTTTTCACATTTTCCTTGGCCTTACCTGCCACGCCTTATCGGAGCAACAGCGAAGCCCGCCGCTTCATAGAGTACATGGATACTAGCATCAAAGCACTGCACTACTATGAGCTGGTGCACAAGGTTTTTCCCTCCAGCACATGCATTGAGAGAGTGTTCACTATGGCAGCTGATCCTATTGCAAGAAAACTTTCAATGATCAGGAATGACAACGTTGAAAAACTCTTCTTAAAAGTTAACATTTAGTAAAGCTGTGCACGGGCAGAATTATAGAGCCCTGCCCGGGCCCACTGACGTCGAAGGCCCACCTAAGTTCAACACTATAGGACAGCAAGCCCGCCCAGCCCAGCCCGACGTAGATAAAAGACCGGGCCCCATCCAACGGCCACGGCCTGACATTATGAATGTTTGCTGCATTGACAAGATTTTTTTTCTGACAATGTGGAATTTCAGTCAGCATATAAAAGTGAAACATAAGCAAACGACACATGACAGTCACTACATGCAATAATTACAAGTTGTCGTGTAAAAATAAGCTCTCCACCGATTTGCGTTTCAGTGAAGTACGGCGCTTATGCGTCGCATATTCACCCAACTGAAGGTCTGTTCGCTGCTTGCACTGGTGACTAGAATCACCAATATATTTCTTGGAAGCATAGCAAGCTTGGAATGTTTAACCCATTTGTACTTTCAGAAGCTTAGTACTTTTGATGTAGCAGAGGCGATAATCACAAAGGTCACCTTGTGTGTGTTCACCCTTTCTCCTTGAGTTTAGCATAGCTAAAGGAGAAAAGAACCGAGAAAGGAGGGTGAGGGGTGGTCACGGAGAAGGTGCGACAGGGCTAAAAACAATTCTAGCAGAAAGTATAATTTGTGGTTGATTTGGGCTTTGCGTCTGGCCCAGTCCTCCTGATAAAAAAACAATGTAGCCTGGCCCGGGCT